TCTAAACGCTGCAGTCGCAGGAGTGACCCATGGTCCCTGTAGGCAAGAGTCTCAAAATACTACGCGCCTTTCTTTATCCTTAGTAGCGCGATTTCTCAAAAATGTGAATTCAGGAGACTTTATGGTAGTTTAAAAGCCGTGGGACTGGTATATGAACATTTCCTTTGTGAGATCCCACTTGTTTTAACCGGAGCCTGTCCCTACCTTACTTTCCTGGTGGTCCTGCAGTACCAGAAGAAAATTCACCAATTTTAAGTGTATTAATTCGATATATTCTGGCAAATATATATAGTTGTTTAAGCACCACCATATTGAAAATAGAATACATTTTTATCACTGCAGAAGAGCGTTTATGTTCCTTTAAATTGAGTCTTGCTTCACTCCCATGTCGTGGTAACTACTGATCTGCTTTCTATATTTAGCAGATATAGTTTTGCCTTTTCTAGGATGTCTTATGAATGGAACCATGTAATGTTTTTTGGTCTGGCATCTTTCACTTAGCATAATGCTTTTTTATTTATTATTATTATTGTGAATTATGTGATCATCTACTAGTCTACAAGGGACAACACCAGCCCTACATTCATCCTATCCTACTTTGCTTCACTGCAATGATTACAATTCCCTGAATGCATCATCAAACAACCAAAGTGTACACTCTGCAAGCCTGCCCCCTGGCCATCAACACACACACCCTCACCCTCCCAGAGTCCAGAGTCCCCAGCTGCTCCATCTCTCCACGTCATTGTCTCTACCTCCATCTCTAGCATCACTGCTTCTCTGGGTAGGGTCCCACACTCCGCTCCTCTCCCTTGACGTTCCAAGGGACCTTCGCTCCTGAACTACAAAATCAACCACTCCCCTCCTTTTGTTACAAAATATGTACATTTACATTTCCAACACTCACAGTCAGACCTGTAGCAGTCATTCACTATAGAACCACAAGAGTCTTATCCCCATCTCTTTTCCAGACAAGTCGGAAACTGCTCTGGAGATTCTACTTTCCCCCACACCCTCTGGAACGAGGTTCCCTTTTGAAAGTTTATAAGCCAGTCACTTCTTGCCTTAGTAGCCCCCTCATTTTGGGTGGCCAATGTTTAAGTTGCCCATCCTTGTTGATCCTGTGTACTGAGGGAGTGGGAATGATCCTTGCTGTAATAATTTGTTCCTTCCTTTGAGCTACTACATTCACAAGCATAGGTCAAGTTCATCAAGTTGTAGCGGATTACTCTTTTTTTCCTCTTCTTTCTTCCTCTAGTCAAGTTCTGGTCATCCAGCTATTGAAGCCAGGTCAAGTGGGTACTATCTGCAAGTATTGGTGTTCTTGTGCATCTCCCTCACTTGATATCAGCCAGATGCTTCACTCTCCCCTCTAGTCCTCTGTGGCCATGTCCCTGTCCCTGAGCCCAGGAGTCTCTAGGTCTTGCTATACTACTGGCCAACCAGGTCTGAGCCCAGGTTGATGGACTCTATTGAACGTGGTCGGACTTAGCTCACAACTTCATTGCTGTTTTTCTCTCACTTCCCCTTATCACTAGACCAACGTGGTCAGCAGCAAGACCACATGCCTGCTCATGTATTCCCCTTGAGTCTTAGTCTTGGAATGGGGTTTGCCGTGAGGGGACCTGACCACTTGCCTTGATGGCTCAAGGGTAAATGACTTGCTTGTTCTTGTAGTAGTCAATCAGACTGCCATTATTGTTTTTTCCTGCTGGTCTTTCTTTCAAGAATCATCTTCTGTTCTTTTAGCCTGGAGCTAATCTACACTTAGCATAATGCTTTTGATAGTCATCCTTGTTTTTTCTTTTGGTTGCTGAGTAGTACAAGCAAATCTTGAAGCTATGAAGGGGCTTCAAAAAAATTCATGAAAAAATGGGAATTTTTCCATGAACTTTTTGAAGTCCCCTTGTATTGTGGCTTCATTTCCAGACCATTGCAATAAAGTGAATATTGCAATAAAGCAAACCACATAGATATTTTGGTTTCCAATTGCGTAAAAGGGTTATTTGTGTGCTATACTGTAAACTATTAAGTATGCGGTATCATCATGCAAAGGTTTGACATATTGTGAGAATTACCAGAATGCGACACAGAAACATGTAATAAGCAGATGCTGTTGGAAAATTGATACTGATAATTTGCTTAAATGGCAGGGTTGCCATAACCCTTCAGTTTGTAAAAAAAAAATCAATTATCTGTAAAGCACAGTAAAGTGGGATCTGCCTGCTCAACCTTGTCTAAACATACTCCAGTATTTATTTCATCATCAGACACGATGGACTTTTCCTGGATTTTGTTGTTGTTTGTAATTATAAATAAAGCTAATATAAAAGATTCATGTACAAGTCTTTTTTTGTTGTTTTTAACTTTGTATTATGAGTTGAGTGAAGGTTTCCAGAGCAGATCATCAGTTTTACTTTTAACAATTCCTATACCTTTTATTTCATCTCACTGATTGCAGTCCCCACAATGTAACATCATTGATCCCATTCTCCCCTGTGTTTCCTGTATCCATCCCTCCTCCCTTCCTAACCTTTCTGAACTTTGTCTTTGGGTAAATGCTGCCTTTTGGTTCTCAAATGGCTGATTATTTTAATGTCACTGAGTCGGTTCTGAGTCATGGCGACCCATTGGGTTCTGACCTGTAGGTTCTCCGAGGAATAGCTGGTGAGTTTGAACTGCCAACCTTGCCTCCAAACCAACTGTGCAGTCCAGCACATTAACCCACAGCTCCACACCAGGATTCCTGTTTGCCTTAGAGATCTGTCTGTTGTTTGTCTGAAATTTGAGCTCTGAGGGTAAGTTCAGTTCCACATCTGTAGGGTGACCTAAGGGTCATCCAGCAAGCCTGGTCTTTTTTATGATTTTGAGTTTTGTTCCACATTTTTCTCTCATTCTATCCAGACCTTCTAATGGGATCCCTTTCAGAGCAGTTGGTATTGGTAGCCAGGCACCATCTAGTTCTTCTGGATTCAGGGTCATAGAGACTGATGTGTGCATGGTCCACTAGTCCATTGGACTGATGGTTCTCATGGACAGTTCTTTGTGGAGCATATGATGTCATTTTTCTCAGGTAAATACTTAAAAATGACATTGCTGGATTGGAGTGTAAAAAATGAAACAGGATTGGCTATGAGTTGACAATTGTGGAAGCTGGTAATACATGTATCGCCATGATACATGGAAGTTCTCTTATTTTTTTCTGTACTTTTGTATTACGTTCTGACTATTCCATAGTAAAACATTTTATTATTTCTTTTTTTTTTCATAGGCAGTTATTCAGAATTGAAGGAGTAAAAAGTGTCTTCCTTGGACCTGATTTCATCACTGTCACAAAGGTAAATGTTTTTCTTGTTGTTGCTAGGTGCCATAGAGTCAGTTCCGACTCATAGTGACCCTGTATAGGGTTTCTGAGACCATAAATCTGTATGGGAGCAGAAAGTTTCGTCTTTCTTTTGCAGAGCAGCTTGTGGGCTGGAACCACTGACCTTGTGGTTCACAGTCTAGTGTTTATCATACAGAGCCACCAAGCTCCCAAGGTAAATGTAGTGAAGTGGTTGTGTGCCATGGAGTTGGTTCCAACTCATAGCCACCCTGTATAGGGTTTCTAAGGCTGTACATCTCTATGGGAGCAGAAAGCTTCATCTTTCTCCTGGAGAGTGGCTGGTGAAATAACCCTGTGGTTAGCAGCCCGGCTCATCCTTACTACGTCACCAGTGCTCCTTTGAACTACGTACCTCCTTTTAATCTGGTAACTGATTTGTAGCCACAGAACTTCTACTTTTATAGTAAGTGTGGTCTGTAGAATAAATACTGGACTGTTGATGGTTCACACCCACCCAGCCGCTCCTCGGAAACCCTATAGAGATTGGAACCAACTTGACAGCACTTAACAACAGCAAATAAACCAAATCAAACATGTTGCTGTGAAGTTGATTCTGACTCACTTTCAACTGTATAGGACAGAGTAGTACTGCCCTATACGGTTTCCAAGCCTGCAACTCTTTATGGAAGTAGACTGCTGCGTCTTCTGTGGAGCAGCTGGTGGGTTTGAACTGCTGACTTTTGTTAGTAGTGGACCGCTTGACCAGTGTGCCATTAGGGCTCCTTAAACTTCCATAGGACTTTCTGGAACTCAGAGTAGTCATTCAACTCCCCTCGAACAATTTGAAAGGATTATTCTTTCATAAGTTTTAAGAAGACCAAGGAGACAAGCCTTTGTTTACTGTCTCTGATATGTCCTATACATTGCTATGTGCTTTCGATATGTGAGGAATGTTAAACCTTTGTGAGAAGATTCCATTGTCTTTCAATTCCATTTTTCCACAAACTTTTGAAGTCCTCTTGTATTACCAAATTTAATTATAGTTAGGTATTTTATTTTATTATGGGAAATTATGTGTTTATATTTCTTAATGTTCTTTTGGAGATAGCCTATATAAAAGTTTTATAGATGAAACCTATACAAGATTTTCTTTTGGCTTTTTCTTTTCCTTGAATTGATTTTGGTGAGTCCCATCTTTTATTTCCCTTTTCCCTTCATTCTTTAGGTAGCTGTTTTTAAATGTCTTCAGCTGCATTAGTGTTTCTTAAGTGAAATGACTTCAACTACAGATAATACTCTAAGTTAAGGTACATGTTGATATTATGTAGGTGGTTGTTAAGTGTCATTGAGTCAGTTCCAACTCATAGTGAACCTGTATAGGGTTTCAGAGGAGTGGTTAGTGAGTTTCAACTGCTGACCTCGAGGTTAGCAGTCCAGTGCTCATTTTATAGCATAGCACAGCACATTTCATAGGTAAGTGGATTTGATTTATTTTCTTTCAGCAGCCTGCCTTATCAGGTGCTATTTCATTTATTTGCTATCTCAAAAGCAGCCAATTTTGATTCGTAATGGATAACTCAGAAGCTTCCTTATGTATCACTTTTGCTATTTCTGTTCTAAATGGATATGTTTTTGAAGCTTGGTGGTGGTGGTTGTATGCTCTGAAGTTGGTTCCGACTCTTAGTGATCCTGTCTAGGGTTTCTGAGGCTGTAAAACTTCATGGGAGCAGAAAGCCTCATCTTTCTCCCATGGAATGGCTGGTAGATTTCAAATACTGATCTTTCGGTTAATATTCCAGCTTGTAATCCACCAGTCATTCAGACATATTCAGAATATTCTTTTTATTACTGATATTTCCTTACTAAGTAGAGCTTACTGTTTGCTGAAGATCTTCCAAATAATTTGTTTAAATGTTCCCCAGAACCAGTTCCCATTCCCAGTTGCCTCTCACTGGTTTTACTTTTTTACCCACAGCAGTGCTTATTTATCTTACCTTTACTATGTTGTTGAGTTGATTCTGACTCAGCGACCCCATGCAGGGTTTCCGAGGAGAGGCTGGTGAGTTTGAATCTCTAATCTTGTAGTTCAGATGCAGCTTGTGATCAAGTGCTTATCCTACAGCACCACACCAAGACTTCCTTTGTGTACAGTTGCCAAAATGGTTCTAGTCCTGCAGTACAACCTTCAGCCACACATCCACTTTTACCAATCCTCGCAAAAACTGAATCTCAAATGAAGATTAAGGAAATTACAGTACACAGAAAATCCTCAAGTGTCGATGATACGAACGTTGGATGTGTTCCAAATCCAAGATGCAGGATTAGAACAGTGATCACAGCAAAATAATAGTGTCACTGGCGACACACACAACAGATAGTTATTAAAACAAGTGGTGTGACATCCTATAAATGGTGACCACAAAGAAAAGAAAAGTTGAGGCACCCTGTCTTATCTTTCTTAGAGAAATGGACCTATGATTATTTTTTTCTTGAAGTCAAAGGCAAACCTTTGTGCCTAGTTTGTGGCAATGCATTGTTGTTGTTGTCGAGTGCCATTGAGTTGATCTGACCCATAGCGACACTGTATAGGGTTTCCAAGGAGCAGCTGGCGAGCTTGAACCGCAGACCTTGCAGTTCAAATGGCTTTGCAGTTTGGCGCATTAACCCACAGCGCCACACCAGGACAGTGCGTTAGCAGTATTGAAAAAAGCCAATCTGGAGCGTTATTACAGCTCAAAACATGCTAAACTCAATTCATTGGGAGGCCAAATGCAACTGGATAAAATCAGTGCTCTTCAGTAAGTTTGGAATCACCACAAGCCGCTTTCACTGGGTCTCGTTGTAACTGAGATAATGTTATTCAGATGAGTTATGTAGTGAGTGAGCTAATCGCAAATTAGTTGAGACCTCACATAGATGGAGAGTTTGTGGAAGAGTGCATGGTGGCTGATGTGTTGTTGTTAACATTGTTAGCACCAGACACATTAAAATTGTTTCAGAGTGTTAGTTTGTCTTGGAGAACCGTCTCAGATGGGATTACTGACATAGCACAAGATATTGAGAAAACATTGAAGGATTGATTCTGCAGGAGGTTTCCAGTTTTTCTCTCTGGTTTGTGATAACAAATACTGCCCAACTGGCCATTTTCATTCATGGGATGACTGCAGAGTGTGACACATAAGAGGAACTGCTTTCACTGGAAGCTATGCCTGGCAGTGCAAGAGGTGAAGACTTGAGAGACTTGTTTCATCAGTGAAAAAACTTGAGCTAACATTTGAAAAGTTAAGTGACTTTTCTACATACAGATGGAGCCCCAGTCATGGTTGGTTCACAAAATGCCTTAATTGCATTTGTCAAGAAAGAGCTGAATCATCTCAGTCTTGATCCAAGTGATTTAATAATATGCCACTGCATCACGCGCCAAGAAAGTCACTGTGCACAGTTGTTGTGGCTCAAAAATGTGCTGTGAACAGTAGTGTCACGAATAAACTTTGTCAAAAGCAGAGGGTTTAAAAGCCTCCAGTGTAAGTAGTTACTGAATGATCTTGACTCTGAGTATAGATAGTGATCTTGTTTATCACTGTGAAGTATGATGGCTGAGCCACGGAAACGTGCTCATGAGTTTTACGAACTGTGGGATGAAGTCAAGCAGTTCATGGATATGAAGGGAAAACCTGTCAGGGAACTGAGTGATAGCAAGTGGCTGTGTGACCTAGCATTCTTGGTGGACATTACCAAGTACCTCTCAGAGCTGAAGGTCAAGCTGCCTGGTCCCAATCAACTTCTCAGCTCCCGGCTTTCAAAGGCGAAATCATTTGAAACAAATGATTCCAATAATGAGGCTGTGGAAAGTGTAACTAAGGGAATAACACAGTGCATTTCCCCAACCTGGGAGGACAAAAGGCTTCTACAGCACTTGAATATGCTGGTGAATGTTTGAAACTGAGACAGTTAATGAAAGGTACAAGGAAGTGAAAAGTAACCAAATGGAATTGAACATCTTTGCTATGCCATTCAATGTAGAATCAGCTGGTGCATTAACCCACAGCACCACACCAAGACTCCCGATCTATCACATTGTTGTTGTTGTTAAGTGTTGTCAAGTCGATCTTGACCCATGGGGTGAGCTAATTAAATGTGCTATGGGTTAATGCACTGGACTGCAAAGTCATTTGAACTGCAAGGTCGGTGGCTCAAGCTCACTAGTCACTCCTCAGAAACCCTGTACAGGTATGGGTCGGAATTGGCTTGATGGCACTTAACAACAAAAAACAACAATTAAATTTTTGACCAAATATAGCAGGCTAATTTTTAAATTGATAATTTTGCACAGCCTGCAAATGATGTTATAAATATCAAAATGGCCCTTGATAGAATAAAGTGTCCTCACTCTTGATATAAAGGGTTTCCCATGAGCAGCTAGTGGGTTTAAACCACCAACCTTGCAGTTCAAGCCGACCTTGCAGTCCAGCGCTTTATCCTACAGCACCACACCGGGACTTCAAATTTCACTGCTAACTATGTGGAATTTGGCGATCCCCAGCAGGATGGCTGACTCCCAGCCCTCTGTTCACCCACGCTAGAACAATGCAAGCAAGCCAAGCTCACACATGCCAGTCTGCTTTCCTATTGCCTTATTTTCAGATACGCAACTAAAAAGCATCCTTTTCAGAAACCCTGCAATATGACCAAAAAACCCTAAGTCTAAATGAAAACTTGCTCTGAAGGAAATCAATGATTGACAGAATAGGCAAGAACTTAAAAATCTGAAAATCCTCAGAAATGTTTAAAAAGTTACTGCTTCCATAAGATAGTAGTAGCACAGACTTTAGGAAATGACTAATGGCACAGGATGCATTAAAAAAAAGCATTTAAAAACTCAAAGAAAGCTAAATTATATACGAATGCTCCAAAACAGGAGGCACATCTTCCAAATTAGAATAGAAAGTGAGTATGCTTTGAATGGAATGGATTCCATTCTAAGCAGCAGGTGGATTAAAAAGGTAGAGGAATTTCAGGATCATGCTGTGGATCTACTCTTAGATCACTACGATTGCAGGACTGTACATAACAGGCTTTACAGCTCTTGCTTTTAACCCTTGCACTCCTCCCTATGTCTTCCATGGCTTCATACTTCTTTTGCCAACCTCCCTTTTAATTGTATATTGCCTTTCTCCTCATCCAAGTTAACCCTCTAGCCACTGAATTACACCGAATCGGGCTGCGAACCTTAAGGTCAGTGGTTCGAAACTACCAGCCGCTCCTTGGGAGAACGATGAGGCTTTCTACTCCTGTAAAGATTTACCCCCTCGGAAACCCTGTACAGGGTCGCTATGGGTCGGAACCTACTCAACGGCACTTAACAACAACAACCTTTCCAGCACTGTTAACCATCAAAGAATGTTTAATTTAGTGTGAAAACCTTTTCTTGACTTTTTACAATAGTACTTTCATACAATATTTGTCCTTTTGTGATTGACTAATTTTACTCAGCATAATACCTTCCAGGTTCATCCATGTTATAAGGTATTTCACAGATTCATCATTATTCTTTAACATTGCATAGTATTCCATTGTGTATATGTGTTCTGTACTATTTAAGGAGCCCTGGTAGTGTAGTGCATTATAAACTGGGCTGCTAACCACAAGGTCAGCAGTTCCAGTAAAGATTTACAGCCTTGGAAACTCTATAAACAGGGTCACTATTAGTGGGAACCAACTCAATGGCACACAACCACCAACCAATATTTAAGTATTTATTTATTTATAATTCTGTCATATTATGGAGTCAACTTGCTGGCCAGGTATAGCAATGAAACAGTTATGATCTCTTTCTCATGGATGTCATTCATACTGACCATCCACAAGTCGTCCTCCAGTAGTAGAGCCCTAGGTAAGACATGTTATGCGTTTTCATTTTACATCATTGTATCATTACGTTTCATTAGTACTCTTTACTAGTGTATGTAAGTTGAGTTTTTTGAATAGTTGTAGGTATTCTTTTTATTTGATCGTACACTTCTATCTTACTTCTTCAAGAGATGAGTCTCTTTATCATCAGTTTTCATCACGTCATGAAAAAGTATCTTAAGCATTTTAATATCCCTGCAATGCATGGCACATATAGCACACTTAGTAAAAGTTTGATGAATGAATGAATGGGGAATGTTCTAAGATTATGAGTCAGACTCTGTAAGAACTGAGCTCAGAATTTACATGTGTTCTCTAGAAATAGGTAATCATGCACAGTAGAATGCAGGTAGAAAAAAGTTTTTGAAAGATACATGTACTGTTCTGTATTTTGTCTTTTCCCTTGAGTGGAAATGTAATGGTTTTCTTCAAATGTTCACAGGAAAGTGAAGAGTTAGACTGGAATTTATTGAAACCAGATATTTATGCAACAATCATGGACTTCTTTGCATCTGGCCTACCGCTAGTTACTGAGGAGACAGCTTCAGGAGAAGCAGGTAATGTGTCATGTGAAATAATACTTACTCTTCTCCCTTTGTTTAGACTTTTCAACTTCATTCACATTTACTCTGGTTTCAGAAGTAATAGGAATACAGACTTTCATTCATTTAATTAAGTTAGCTCTGCAACAAATTCCAGAGGGAACAAAAATCTCATGCACAGTAGTTTTATGTGTCATTTTGAAACTTTTGTATAGAGTCTATTATACAAAACTAAATTAATATGTCAAAATTTTAAAAACATGCAGAAACTAATAATGCTAATCAGCTAGCCCTCCACTCAGATTTAACAAATGTTAACTTTTACCTTAGTTGCTTTGGACCTTTTTTCAATAAAATAATGAAAGAGGCTGCTAAAGCCTAACAGCTCCCAAACCATTTTCCTCCACCTTTCAGCTCTGTGAACAATCTTGCTTTCTTATTTTTATTACACTTGTAAGTCTCTCCAGGGATTATTTAGAAATTGGTTTTTATTCTTAAATTTAAATAATTTGTGCCGTACTACAATTTACCTTTTTCAATTTAGTTTCTGAATAAATCCATTTTTTTAAAATGTAAATCTGTGTTTATGCATTTTTAAATGCTGGCTAGTATTCCATTATACGGGGTCCGGGTGTGAATAAGTATTGGACTGCTAACTGCAAGGTCAGCGGTTCAAACCCACCAGCTGCTCCTCTGTATCCTAAACAGGGTCGCTATGAGGCAGAACCAACTAGACAACACTTAGCAAAAACATTTTGATATATGAATAAGTTACAGTTCATGAATTTGCTCCTTTATATCCAGTTGAGTGATTTGTACTGGTTTCTCTTATAAATATTGCTGTAGTGACTTGTACAAGTCTTCATAGGCACCTGTGGAGCGTTTCTTGTGAGTGCATTTTTAAAAGTGAAATTGCTGTGTCTTAGAGGTCTACAGTTTATTGGATGCCGTGTGTTGTTAATGTGGTTTTTAAGTGCTGTTGGGTCGATTCCAACTCAGTGACCCTGTATAGGGTTTCTGGAGTTCTGGTGTGGCACTGTGAGATAAGCACTCAATGGGAGGGAGTGTTTGAACCGTGAGGTCAGCGATTCAAACTCACCAGCTCCTCCCCGAAAACCCTATACAGTGTCACTGTGGGTCAGAACTGACTCGACGGCACTTAACAACAACAATCGAGTTTCTGAGAAGCAGATGGTGAGTTTGCAGTTCAAACCGACCTTGCAGTCCAGTGCTTATCCTATAGCCCCATGCCAGGACTCTGAGGTGTAGATACCCCAAAGTGATTGTTCTCATCTCATACACATAGTAGTATATAAAGGTTTCAATGTTTTCATATCCTTATTAGGAGTCCTGGTGTGGCGCTATGGGTTAATGCACCAGACTGCAAAGCCGTTTGAACTGCAAGATTGGCGTGGTTCAAGCTCACCAGCTGCTCCTTGGAAACCCTATACAGGGTCGCTATGGGTGGGAATTGACTCGACTGCACTTACCAACAACAACAACATCATCACTTAAGGAGCTCTGGTAGCATAGTGATTCCGAGTCAGGCTGCTAATCTCACGGTAACAGTTTGAAAACTACCAGTGGTTCCACAGGAGAAAAATGAGTCTTTCGGTCCCCGTAAAGATCTACAGCATTGCAAACTCTAGTCAGGGTCACTATGAGTCAGAAATGAATCCACTAGCCCATAACCACCACCACTACCATCATCACTTAATATTTTCTTCTACTTTTTTGTGTTTTTAGGGGTTTTTTGGGGCCAATATGTTAGGTATGAAATGGTATCATGTTTTATTTGCATTCCCTTAATTAAAACTGAGCCTGAGAAGATTTTCATATCTTTATTGGCCAGTTAGTTTCTTTGTCACTAAATTGCCTGTTTATATCTTTTACCCATTTTAAAAAATTAAGTTTTAAGTCTTTTTGTTTACCGATTTTAGCAATACAAAATAATATGTTAGGTAAATGCATAGCAGATAACTTCTCTCTAATCATCACTTGGAATACCTGTGTGGTAAATGCTTAACACACTCCACTGTCAACCAAAATGTCAGTGGTTCGAATCTGCCCAGAGGCACTTTGGAAGGAAGGCCTAGCTATCTAATTCTGAAAAATCAGCCATTAAAACCCTGTGGAGCACAGTTCCCCTAGGACACACATGGGGTTGCCATGTGTTGGGTTTGCTGTTAAGTCGGGGTGACTTGACAGAGACAGAGTGGATAGGGTGGATTATAATTAGTATTCGATAGTAATATCTGTCAAGGAAAGTTCCTCAAATTTGTTTTTAAAAAAAAAAAAAATTGGTGGTTTTAGTCCCTTTATTATCCCATGTGAATTATATAATCATCTTGGAAAGTTCTATGAACAACCCTGTTGAGATTTTGAGTGAACCTGCATTGTATTTATAAATTAAATTTTGGGTAATGAAGAGTTCTTCAACCTTAATTCTTTTCATCTGAAAAATATTCCCATTTCTTTGGGACTTCAAGTGTGTTCTTTTCTTGGTAAGGTCTCGCTTATGTTTGTTATTTCTAATTCTAGATACCAGATAGGACTTGTTGCCATCTTTATTAATCAAGTAAAGGTTTACTAAGAGCTCTGGTAGCATAGTGATTACGAGTCAGTCCGGTAACCTCATGATAAGCAGTTAGAAACTAACAGCCGTTTTGTGGGAGAAAGATGAGGCTTTCTGCTCCCGTAAAGTTTTACAGCCTTGGAAACCCTATGCAGGGTCGTTATGAGTCAGAACCGACTCCACGGCACACAATCTCCACCACCACCAATGGTTTACTATGTTCCAGGCACAGTTCTAAGCACTTTACTCATTTCACATGTGAGAAAACTCAGACTGAGCGGGTGAGTAACTTGCCCAAGGTCACGCAGCTGGTTAATGGTAGAGTACGATGTCATCCCTGGGCAGCTGTTAACTACGACATCATGTTTCCTAGTTGACTTTCAAAATCTGTTTTCTAATTGGAGGGAGGGAGGGTAATAGGAGTGGTACTGTTTGTTATGTATTGATTTTATATCCATCAATTTTGTTGAGCTCTTTCACTTACTCTAATTGTTGATGAATTTTAATAAGTAAAGACCATAAAAACTGAATGCTTATGAATATGTATATATGCACATATACATACACACTCACATACTTACCTTTAGATGATTTAGCTTCACTAAATCATTTTTAGTTTTCGGGTCTAGATATAGACCCTAAAAGAGTTTTCCCAATGTGGACAAGGCAACATGTACAAAGCATGTTCATTAAAATATTTTTTAACTGTAACAGCAATTAAAAGGAATGAGCTGTATCTAGAACTAGCAACATTAAAAGATACAAAGTACTAATGAAAAGGAAAATTGTAGATGGGTAGGTACCGTTATTAGACTATTTATATAAATGTTTAATAATACATCAAGTAGTTATATGTATTGTTGATGGGTATATAAACGATATAACTTTCTAAAAGTAATTGGCTGCATATATAAAAATTTCAACTAACATAAGCTTCTGGACTCAAAATCTTCCTGCTAGGAATTTACCTCATAGATGTATTTGTGAAAATACATGGATATGTATTCATACAAGCAGGTGTGCTGAAAGATTGTTCAAAATAGTGACAAACCTGAAACACTGATGAAGTAATCAAGAGATTGACTAAGACAAATTAATATAAAGATTACTGTGCACTTATTTTAAAAACTGAGGCCTACCTTATATGCTGATGTGAAAAGCCCTTCACGATATATTAAATATGAAAAGAATAAGATCTAGAATTGTGTTTAGTGTATGATCTCATCTATATAAATTTATACATGTAAATGTAAACATTTATTCGACGGATATACACGAAACCAACAATGTTGTTGTTGTTAAGTGCCATTGAGTCAAGTGCATTGAGTTGGTTCTGACTCATAGTGACCCTTTATTGAGTTTCCAAGGAGCAGCTGGTGGGTTTGAACCACCAACGGTTGCCTATTAAATTAAAGAGATGGTGGAAATAGAACTTGAGTTTGCTGACTTAAGAGAATCTTAGCTTTATCTATTATGGTTTATTTATTTTATTAAAAAATCCTCAACATTAATATAATCTAATACTTGTTAGGAGATTGCCAGCATTCTAATGTTTGTTAGAATACAATTTGAATTCTCCATATTTTCACGTTTTCAAATTGTAAATTTCAAATTTCTCAAAAAAAAAAAAGAAAAAGCCTAAGGATAGATAGCGATTATTAAATAACTTTATAAAGGTAAACAAAAGGCCAAAAAGTTTATGCACAGCAGATTTGTAGAACATTTATGATACCTAGTCTTTTTGAAAACTGCTAAATTGAGAAATTGAGATGTAATTTAGCTTGCAAACTGGGTGTGCCTTTTTACCTCAAAGTTTTCGTTAAACTCGGGATGATCTCTGCTTTTTCTGCTACTTTTCAATCCTTGAGAATGAAGAGAAAAGTTTGAAAACTCTCTGGCCAGAATTTTCAAACACTAACATGATTAGTCCAAGGTGTTTCCATATGCTCACCTTTATTACCAAATGTTGAGTTGGTTAGTGCTCTGAATTTTCAATCATAGAATCAAATAAATAATCTTTCTACTTCCCCAAATCAATTATATCACCATACCAAGTTATGTGTCTATGTTTTCAAGTTTTTAATGAGCCATAAAATGAAAATCTTCCTGTTTTAATGCTTGTACTTCCATGAATATGAAATTTCTACTGTTGATATTTTTATTTATGATTGTTTCTAGGATCTGAAGAAGATGATGAAGTTGTAGCAATGATTAAAGAGTTGTTAGATACTAGAATACGGTATGTACTCATCTCTACTTGAAACCAAATGCTGCAAAGGCAATTTCCTGATAGCGACACAAGGGGCCTTAAAAAAAAAAAAGGGAAAATTAATTAAAAGATAATCTCATTTTTCCATGAACTTTTTGAAGCCTCTATGCATACTTTTGGTTTGTCTGTAAGACTACAGTAGAGTTCCAAAATAAGTATGTTTTTGTTGTTG